TGACTGTTGTCATTTATCACCATATGAATAAAACTGAATTGAATTCAAATTCATTGGAAGTGGAAAAAGACGGACGGATGGTTGGATGTGTTCAGTTTGAGGTTTGAACTGTAAAATGGACGTTTAGGTGTTTGTGTTTTCTTATTTGGAGCGAACTAAACGCAGACACAGTGTCGTTACTCCACTGCTTTACTCTGTGAACAAAAGACAACAGTAATCTTAGATATCTGGTTTCAGCATCACTGTTTTGTTCACTTTAACTGCTCCGAAGTCGTCATTTGACCTGCATCAGGTAGAAAAGACTGACAGTGAACTGCTTGTAGCAGAAAACATTTAGTGGTCTCGTTCCCTGTGGAGTTGGAGGAGATGAAAGAGGCTAATAGAGGGTCAATAACAAACTGAGGGCCGTCTATACTGTCGTGAATAAACACCAGCCAGGCAACATCTCTGTGGTGTTTTCCCTCCTCTCAGACGAACAGAGCAGTCATTTAACATCGGCCCGTCTCCCTGCTGACCTTATCGCAGAATCCACCTCAGGACCAGGAAATTCATCTTTCCTGACAATCCGGTGACGGCCCGACTGCACGCATCAAGTCAGCGCGCTCTGACAGCCGTGCGTGAGGAGGCGGTAAAAACGGCAACGCCGTGTCAACCTGATTTTCTGCTTGGACAGCGCACTGGACAGGGATGCTGCTGTAATGTGGACAAGTAGGTGGACCATCACCTGTATCACACCACAGGTGTAACCTCACATCTTCTAAATCCAACCGTCCTCAGCAAACGACTGAGGCTGGATTATATTTATCGGCATACATTTCAAGACTGTGCAGATTTAACATCTCACGTAACAAATGAAGAGGCGACATGTGACAGAAGCCCGACGCGCTGAAACACCTCTGGGCTGATGTGAGGCGTTTCCCGTGGGCAGAGATTAAGCAGCGGGACACTTCCACAGTGTTCGTCACACACAGCTCAGCTGTTTGTGACTCTGTGGCTCGAGGTGTTATGAAAGCTAAACGCTGTGAGTCAGCGCTGCGTCCACAGGTCAGCGAGACGAGCGGACGGTGGATAGAAAGGTTTTTTAAACCTTTGCCTAAAGCAGAAAAATGACCAAGTAAAGCTGACGTGTCAGGCCTCGCTGTGCAAACAGCCAATTTATTACAGCATCCACTGATCCTGGACCAGCCTCAGTGCTGTGGAACCTCGTTTTATCCTGAGATATATTCTCCTCTGTTTACGTCACAGGAGCCACGACGGCAGAACTCAAGTTTTACTGAAACACAAAGTCTGATGTTTCTGTGCCGCCTGGAAACGACACCCAGCTCTTTGTTTAAGATCACAGAGGAAATTATTGA